TCAGACCGCAGCTCTTTCGCCAGCATTGACTCTTAATACCTCTCACACCACGGTTGATGGCATGGTTTACAACATGTAGTATAATAGCGCCTCGCAGCTGTCTCTCTCCCCCTCCTCTGTTCCGACCGTGGATGAACTCGTCCGTCTGAACGGGGCCCATGGCTATCCGTGGTGCTAAAGTTGAGGGTAAGAATCCACCCATTTTTTCGCCATATTTCATTGTGATATATACCGACTTATTGTTGGTAGCTTAGCTGATTGGAGAATATAGAGTTTATTGATAACATTAAGGTAATTTATATTTTAGTTTTTTTTTATTGGTTCACTATATAGTACTGTGAATAGCTCAGATGTGTAGGCCTTGACTTCAACATAGTCATTTCTGTGACCAGTCACTAGCTAATCACTCAGTTATTTCAATGCTAAATTCGCCTAGTTATTTCAATGCTAAATTCTCCTGTTTGATTTGTACTAAGTGCCTCGGTGAATGTGTATGCTCTGACTTTAACGTAGCTATTTCTGTGACCAGTTACAAGCTAATCACTCAGCTATTTCAATGCTAAATTCTATGCTAATTCCTTTGTTAAGGGGTGCCTCTGCGGATGTGTATGCTTTAACTTAGCTATTTCAATGCTAAATTCTATGCTAATTCCTTTATCAAGGGGTGCCTCTGCGGATGCGTATGCTTTAACTTTTAACATAGCTATTTCTGTGACCAGTCACAAGCTAATAACTCAGCCATTTCAATGCTAAATTATATGCTAATTCCTTTGTCAAGGAACTTTGTTTCCTCTCACACAGCTTAAAGGTCGTGATCTGAACGTGGCTCTTTCACTCCAGCGCTGTCCTACCAGACAGTCTCGTCCCTTCACCTGATGAAGGCCGCTTGTGTTGTGGCCGAAACGTCGTGAGAATATTATTGTGTTATTTTATTTTATCAATTTATTATTGTATTCTCATTCTACGTGACTTTACCGAAAGAACCAAAGAAGATGAATCATTGCAGTCACGAAAGCTTTAAATCGAAACTCCTGTGTGATGTCAACAAGAAAAGCTAAGTCCATGAGCCATTTGGGATCACTTATCACAGGAACAGCCATCCCATCCTTCTCCATGATAGCTTTCACTTCTGCTCTCAACTCAAAAAACCTCTTCAAGACGTTTCCCCTGCTGAGCCAACGTACCTCGGTGAAGTAGAGCACATCCTCATATGCTGACTCTATTTCCTCTAAAAAGGCGCAGAACTGCCGGTTCTTTAAGCCCCTGAACGACAAACATCACATTGTCAAACTTCAGGCATTTGCTGCAAAGGGCCTGCCGATGGATAATGCAGTGCAGAGCAATGGCCTCCTCCACACCCTCCTCTTCCAGTTTTCTTTGAACAAGTGCCCCCCAGTCCATTTCTCCTCCCTGTCATTGATGGCGCTCCGTCGGTTGTTATTCCAGCAAACCTCTTCCATGGTAAACCGGCATCCACAATGGCATCGCACGGCTGGCGGAATATCTCCTGAGCAGTTGTCTGGCCATGCATCGGATTCACTGTGAGCAACTCCTCCGTCACTTCAAAATTGCCGTCAACAGCACGGACATACATTGCGAGCTGCGCAGTGTCAGTGATGTCTGTGCTCTCATCAAGAGCGACTGAGTATGCATGGAAATGTGTTGGCTTTCTCACGCAGTTGATCGTATATGTTACCCGACAGGTCAGAATTGCGCTCTGCCACTGTGTTGGCTGAAAGGCCGATGCTGCTAAACTGACCCTTCTTTTCCAGACAGACTATACTTACAGCCTGTAACACGCACTTTTTGATGAACTCGCCGTCTTTGAATGGCTTTCCCGCCTTGGCAATCATCTCACTCACCACGTAGCTAGCTTCGACCGCTGCATCACTCTCTTTGCTTGCTTTCTTGAAAAAATCTTGTTGCCTCAGTAGACGTGTTTTTAAGATTGTCGACCCGGTCCTCTCTCTCTCATCTCCCTGGTATTTTGCATACTCCTCAGTATGTCTAGTTAAGTAATGACGTCTGATGTTGTATTCCTTGTGCACCGCAACTTTCTCTGTGCATATAAGACACGTCGGGGTGCCCCTGTGGCTCAACAAACAAAAATATTCCGTCTCCCACTTTTCCTGAAATTGTTTGTGCTCGTCGCCAACCTTTCTCTTCACGGCAGGTTTTGAGAAAGACATGATTGGGGCTGGGTGACAAAAAAAAAACATTTAATAAAAATAGAAAAAAAGTTAATAAAAAAACTAACGTAATTTCCGGACTATAAGCCGCTACTTTTTTTTACACGCTTTGAACACTGTGGCTTAAACAATGATGCGGCTAATTTATGTTTTTTTTTTACACAAGCTTCATGCCGCCAAAAACATTTACCGTCACATCAGACCAATTCAATTACCGAACAGGCCACAGTGGACCAATCAAATGCACTCACGCTAAATTCTTCAGATCAGTCATTTTGCGCTTCATGCACACACCGTCATCACGGGAAACACGCGAAGGAATGCACATGATGCAGCTTTCAAGTTGAAGGTCGGTCGATCTGGCTGTCAAAGAAGGAATCGGAGCTGCTGCACGTAAGCTTGGCATCGATGAATCAATGGTGAGACGTTGTAGACGGCAGCGTGAAGAACCGACTCAATGAAAAAAGACGACAAAAGCTTTCAGAGGTAAAAAAAAAGCAGATGGGATAGGCAGCAGCCCCCCCCCCCCCCCCGCGAACCTGATTAGGACAAAGCGGAGATAGAAAATTGATGGACTGTTCCTGGTTGGCTACTATGTTACCGGTACTATTTAATTAAAAGTAAAAAATATATATATTTCTGTGTAACTATCTCATGTTACAACGTGGACACCTGCGGCTTATAGACAAATGCGGCCTATATATGTACAACTTTATTTTTATTTTTAAAGTTAGTGGGTGCGGCTTATAATCAGGTGCGCTCAATAGTCCAGATAATTACGGTACTATCAATGCTTTGGCGTCTGCCTACCATGCACTTTTACAGCGCTTTGGTCACCCTTAAGGCGGGCTTTCCATTGTGATATATTTACATGTTTTTATCCCAATACCTGAGTATTTGGGATCTTATTTAGCATGCCCTTTCTATATATTCTGAGAGGTATTTGAAAACTTTATCAGTGTTCATAGCTTTTTTTTGAGCACTTCGTTTTTCTTATCATTATTAAATGTATCAATCGTCTTCTCTCTCAGGTGTTTATACCTTTCACATTCATAAATAAAGTGATATAGATTTTCTTCTTTTTGTTTACATCCTACATATCCTTCTGCTCTTCCAAATCTCTCTGGATGCCATCGAGCTAACTCTGGTGTCCATGTTACTCCACCTGTCTTAATTCTTAACATCAAGTGCATTGTCTCATGTTTTATATCTTTAAATTTCTTGCTCTTTTTGATTAAATTGTTCTTGGTAAATTCGTTTTTTTTGCGATTGCACATATCTGTCCTTTTTCCTTGTCTTTGTTTCTCTTGTAATAATAATCTATAACTTCTTCTTTATAATATTCAGGTTCTAACCACCATTTGGCTATTGTTCTTGCCACCCATCTCATGCTATTTGCTATCCATGTAATTATTTTCCTTTTCCTATTGCAACACTCTGTTGTCTTTATTAGGTCACCGATTACTCTTGTAGAGTCCGCCCACTTCCTAAGTCCTCTGTACCTTGTACTGGGTGACAGGATATATATATTTTCCTTCCACTTGGTGTCACTCCAGAATCACGTTTCAACCAAGTGACTAACGTTGCTAATTCGCGTTGGCTAACTTGTCAACAAACACCGGTGGCTGTCACGAGCCTGAGCTATGGTAAAAAAAAATTTTTTAAACTAAAAAATTGATGTCAAGTAGGGCGCTGCAGAATATCGTTCCACGGGCCGCAATTGGCCCGCGGGCCGCGAGTTTGAGACCCCTGGTCTACGGCATCGTACACGGCGCGACATTTTCCCTTTCATTCTATGCATTCGCCGCACGAGTTATGAACGAACGCTCGAAAAAAAAAAGACAAATTTTTCACTGAAAATACTTCCTCTTTAATGTGGTTGCGTTGATGCAGGGCGACGTGAAACAGAAGGACGGGGAGGGGGTGGGCGGGTGTGGGTGGCGTATTATGAACCACAAACCAAACGCCCGAGCTCTCACATTTGCCTTTGAGCTTTGCGGATCGCGGATTTGCCGATGGCGGCGATTTTCAAAGAGACGTGACCCAGACCCACCGCGTTGGGCGAGGGTTTTGCCGCGTGTAGATATCTTCTGGGGCTCGGGCCACGATGTTGTCATTGAGGAACGCGTCGAGGGTCGTTTTTCGCGCACCGCTGCCAACGTGGCGGCGGCGGGGCAGCTGCATCACCAAATCATGAGTACATTTGGTAATTGCCAAATCATTATAGCACGGGGCTATCTACAAAATACGCTATGCTTCACACACGCAGTCTGCATGAGTCTCACGATAGGGTGGCGGCGGGTGGGGGGGGGGGCGTCGGTGCTGTGTGGTTATTCCCAATTTGGTAATTTGCGGTGATTTCAAGTTCAGTTGAATTTGCCAAATATTCACCGTGACACCAGCACACAATGGGCAAATATTCAGAATTATACCACGGGATCTCTCACATGAACTGTGAAGCGGACGGCACGTACTATTTATGGTTAATTGACCCGCGGTATTAACCAGGGCGGCCGTGGGGCTCGAACCACAAACCTCTGCAACGCTCGGCAAACGCTCTACGGCTCGACGGTACCACCGTGCCACCGTCTCAGTGCCCAGGCCAAAGCGGCAGCAGCACCACCACCACCAACAGCGCCACCACCTCTACCACCACCACCATCAACAACAGGCCAAAGCGGCAGCAGCACCACCACCGTTACCACAACCGACCAGCAGCAGCACCACCACCATCAGTATCACCATCAACAGCAGCACCAACACCACCACCAGCTGCAAAACCGGCACCACGACCACCAGCAACATCGGCGCCACCACCACCATCACTGGCAGCACCGAACCTCGCCACCAGCAACATCAGCAATACCAACCAACAGCATCATCACCACCACCACCACCACCGGCAAACCACCGCGCCGCGTTACGCCTGGGAGCCGCGAATCGTCGGTAACTCGAGGCCAATCACTCGGACCGAGTCGCAGCTCACTCCGTACTGGACGTCCGTCCTGCCGCCGGCACTGGTGGAGGCTGCCGCCGCCACCTCCTCGCCACCTCTCCCCCCACCCCTGCCACCCCCCCCCTCCTCCGCCGCCGCCGCTTCCTCGCCAGGCATGGCCGGGCCGGCCGGGCCGGCTGGGCCGGCTGGGCGGGCGGTCACAGCGGCCTCCGCCGTCGGCCTGACGGAGTAGAGGATGAGCCCGGAGGTGATGATGAGGAAGGCGGCGATGTAGAGGGCTGAGAACTGCGACGCCGGTGCAGGGGCGGCAGTCGGAAACCAAAACAACAACAACAACAACCTCAACGTTACAAGAGCCGCAATGCAACGTGAACACGACGCGGTGGGTGCTTAATAAATGACGTCACGAAGCAGATTCTTAAAGGAGGAGTCGCCCGACCCCCCCCCACCTCCGCTGGCCATCAGGTGGCAAGATGAAATATAGGTGCAGCCGCGTGTGGTGTGCAATTGCTTGCTCGTGCAGCGAGCTGGCGGAAGGACCCCCCCCCCGCCCACTAGAGGGAGCTCGGAATTGCAACTCTGAACTCCGCACCCCGCCGCTGCACGGTACCCAAGACGGGGGGGCAGAGGGAGGACGACTCGATTTCCCGAGCTCTGCAATCCTCTGCGATATTAAAAGGTGCTACTGGACAATCAACGAGCGCTGTGGACAAATCGATTTAGGCCGAGAGCGACTCGGTTGCGTGCGACCGATCGCTCGGGTGCGAGACGCGCGCCATCGTGGTGGTGGTGGTGGTGGTGCACGTGGCCCGTTGCGTGCGTCCGGGCTACGTGGCGGAGCGTACCGAGTACTTGAAGAGGAAGGTGCCGAGGAAGAGGCTGTAGAGGTCGGCCGTGAGGATGGCCAAGTTGACGGAAGCGGCGCTCGTGAGGCACAGGGCCAGGGGCATGAGGCTGTAGAGCGAGAACATGCAGCAGGCGAAGCCCACGTACAGGAGGCCTGCGCAGCCGCAGACACGCAGCGTCGTCATCATCATCGTCGTCGTCGTCGTCAGCAGCAGCGGCGGCAGTGGCAGTGGCATCATTAACACGTCGTAGGCTTTCGCGACCAAAATCATCCGTAAGTGGTTTTTGGTGATATCGTGTAAATATAAATGTGTCGTTCAAACCCGCCACCACCAGACACAGCCAACTAGTAAGGGTTGTCACGTAAACAGAACGTGGCCAATTCGTCACTAGTACAGCACCAGTGTATAGTGTAGTGTATAGTGCAGTGTATAGTATAGTGTATAGTATAGTGTATAGTAGTGTATAGTGGTGTATAGTGTATATAGTGTAGTGTATTTAGTTTAGTGTATAGTGTAGTGTATAGTGTAGTGTACTAGTACAGCACACCGGTTGTGTGTTGGAGAGCCAAGCCACAACATTTACAATCTGAGTACGACGTTTCGCCAGTAATTACAACCAGCTTCATCAGGTGACAGCCAGATTTGTGGAGAAGTCCACCTGTTTCGTTCCTTAAGTAGAGGCGTAGATTGGCATGTTTTGTTTACGTGACAACCTTACTAGTCGGCTGTGTTGGGTGGTGGCGGGCTTAACGACACATTTATACATTTACGCGATCTAACCCAAAAAACTCTACTATGAGTATCATCATTATCAGCAGCAGCAGCAGCATCAGCAGCGTCAGCAGTATCAGCAGTATCATCATCAGCAGCAGAAGTAGGCGAAGCCCACGTACAAGAAGAGCCCTGCGCAGGCAGATACAGGCACAGTCATCATCATCATCATTAGCAGCAGCAGACACAGACCCAGAGGGACAAAGAGAGCCACAGATACACACAGACATCGATTTTAGAGAGGAGCGCTAGTGGTGTGCATCCTGCACTCCCCGTCGTGTCCCTCCCCTAGAGCTCTGTCGTGACCCCTTATGTGCTCTCTGCCATGGTCACTCACTCCTCAACCCTTGCACTCCCCCACGGCCTAAATTGTATGCACGTTGAACTTCTTTCGCACCGTACGTCGCCGACCGTGCTCATGCGAGGCGCTGCCCAATCATTCCTCAACCCTTGCGACGCCCCCCTGCACATGAAGGCAGTCGCCCTCCTTCACCTCTCGACGCTTAAAGCCTCGCCAACCCCCCTCCCCATCGCCCATTCCCCTCCCTCTCCCCTCCCCTCGCCCCTCCACTCCGTCCCCTAGAGCTCTGTCGTGACCTCCACGTGCCCTCTGTCGCGGTCACTCATTCCGAGGCCCTTGCATCTCCCCCCGCCCCCCCCGGCAATCTAAATCGCTCCATTTGTGTTGCCGCTTTTAAAGCTACGTTATGGACAGCGCCTTGGGGGCCCGTCCATAAATGACGTCACGCGATTTTGGACGATTTGTGACCCCCACCCCCTCGTCACACGGCGTTACAAAAAGTCAGACCGCTCCCCCCTCAAATATGACGTCACAAAGCTTCCCCCCCCCCCCAAAATAAAACATGCTTCAAATCGCTTTAAACTATTGTCATTGTAGTACGTATTTAATGTGGCGCTGCGCTCTGATGTCGTAGGAGAAAACATTTATAATAAAAAGTCTATTCAATTAAGCAGAACGTGTTGTCTATAGTTATTCAAAGTTGCGCATTTTGATGTGACGTCACATTTCTCACACCCCCTCCCCCCTCGTCACACATCGTCACAAATGTCTGACACCCCGCCCCCCCCGCCCCCCCCCCGCACGCAGGTGCGTGACGTCATTTATGTACCGCCCCTTGGGCTTGCTCTTGCGCGCTACGTCGTATATCTTAAATGGGAGGGGCTAACGCGAATTTTGGTCCGGCGCGATCGCTGTTATCATCGGCGCGATGCTCCTCGTCACGAGGGGTGCGTGAATACGAACCAACGCTCCAGGTCCACTCCACGCTGGCGAGAGCGTTGCGCTCGGTGATGGCTCTGCGTGTGTTGTGTGTGTACGTGTGTGCGTGTAAGAGTATATACGTTTGTGTTGTGTGTGTGTGTGCACGTGCGTGTGGGTTGGAGAGCACGTGTGTGCGTGTGTGTGTGTGAAAGTGTGCGTGTAAGAGTATATACGTTTGTGTTGTGTGTGTGTGCACGTGTGTGCGTGTAAGAGTATATACGTTTGTGTTGTGTGTGTGTGCACGTGCGTGTGGGTTGGAGAGCACGTGTGTGCGTGTGTGTGTGTGAAAGTGTGCGTGTAAGAGTATATACGTTTGTGTTGTGTGTGTGCACGTGCGCGTGGGTTGGAGAGCACGTGTGTGTGAAAGTGTGCATGTAAGAGTATATACGTTTGTGTTGTGTGTGTGCGTGCGTGTGGGTTGGAGAGCACGTGTGTGTGTGTGTGCGCGAGAGAGTGTGGATGTTAGCGTGTGTGCGCATGCATGTGTGAGAGCGTGTGTGGGTGTGTGTGCATGTGTGCGCGTGTGAGCGAGAGAGCGTGTGAGTGAGTGTTTGGGGGGGACGGTGGTGGGGTGTGAAGTGTGGGGTGGATAGGGAAGAGGGGCAGGGGGGGGGGGGGTTACAAAGGCCAGCAACACCCAAAGTTAAAGACAGCATCGTCTCTGGCCATGCCGCTTCAGTCGCTCGCTCTCTCTCGTGATGAGCGGCTCACCACGGACAGAGACCCCCTCCCCCCCGCAAATCGCGTGTCGTGCATCAAGCCCCTGGACACCACCCCCCCAGACAGACACGGGGACCCACCCGCAGCCTCAACCGTCGTGCCGCACAAAATAAAACCATTTGAGCGTCGCTGCGGAGAAGAGACGCGCAGAGCAAAACCGCTGGGCCGCGTTAGTGCACTCTATATAACAAAAAAATATACAAACTATTAAACAACATTTTTTTTTATTTCACCGGCTAAGGTCCCGCCGAGCTGCTACGTAGCTATTTTTTTCAGAAGCGACCTGACCATCGCAAATTATCGACAGCCCGGCGAAGTTGCGTATCGTCACGTGGATGTTTAGAGCAGTCGAAATACTCTGAACGCGTGATTTTGATTATTCATGTGGAGGGAAAACCCGGAGAAATTCACTCGACCACGGGGTTAGAGACAGAGTCACGCAAACTCCAAATATACAGCAGCAGGCGTCAAGGGTCGGGATCGAACCGACGACCTCCCGCACAGCAGGCGAGGTTGTTAACATCTCCTGCGGACGCTCCACCCCACAGCGGTAGCTCAATGGTTGCGGCTCACTGAGCAAGCCGTTTTGGCTTTCCAGGTGGGGCCTGCTGGCAAATCTTCAACTCTTATTGCTCTATATATATACACCATCTGGTTCTTTCGGTAAAGTCACGTCGATAGAGAAAACAATAATAGAACACGACGTTTCGGTCGCAACACAAGCGTCCGTCATCAGGTGAAAATTTTTTTATCTGCTGTTGTGGCTTTATATAGGCACGGGAGGGGGGTTTTGTAGAGTCGTGACTTTACCGAAAGAACCAGACAGCATTGATTCTTGCAGTCACGAAAGCTTCAAATCTTCCTGCTCTCTCAGACGGCGTGACTGGCTTGCGAATCGTAAATCGTTGTGGGTTTACCCTCCACCACACAACCTGGTGTTGCTGTACTAGTAACCAACTGGCATACTCATTGTTTTTTTCGGTAAAGTCACGTATGTAGAAATACCATAAAATTATATTAAAATGAATCAATCACGACGTTTTGACCACAACACAAGCGATCTTCATCAGGTGCAAAAAACAAATCGCGAGGGAGCACATAGGGTGACATCAACGCAACACATAGAGAGCGTTAAACTGCACGGAGGTAAATACAACAAGAAGATGAGAGACGAGAATTCAACAAACCTAAGAAAAAATTACGTGATGCAAAACCAGTCAGGCCAACAACACAGTTAGACACTTGCCTGGCAGACCACGAATTTCAGAAGTGCTAAATTTCGTGTTCACCCTCTGGATTGAACATACCAGCATAGACAGAGTGAACAAATACGAGGTACAAGTCAGCAGAAATACATATACAGGGACAGCAAGAGGCAAGGAGAGGAAAGACGGACAGAGAAGCAAGGACAAAGAAAAAGGGCCGGAGGAATAAACAGAGGCCTTAAATAAAAAGTAGCGGTGGCCTGACTGGTTTTGCATCACATAATTTTTTCTTAGGTTTGAATTCTCGTCTCTCATCTTCTTGTTGTATTTACCTCCGTGCAGTTTAACGCTCTCTACGTGTTGCGTTGATGTCACCCTATGTGCTCCCTCGCTATTTGTTTTTTTTTTACACCTGATGAAGATCGCTTGCGTTGCGGTCGAAACGTCGTGATTGATTTATTTTAATATAATTTTATGGTATTTCTACATACGTGATTTTACCGAAAAAAAATGAGTAATTTATGCAGTCACGAAAGCTTTAATTCTTAACCAACTGGCATGTATTGTTTCAGGTGAAAAACCTTACTAATTGGCTGTGTCGGGTGGTGGCGGGTTTATATTTAAGCGACATAACCCCAAAACAACCTGATGGATGGTATTGGTCGGGAAAGCCTGCTGCTACTGCGTGTGAAAGTGGCCGCACGAGTAATCAACAGCACGGGGCTGCACTTTTACCTTTGCCGCTGCTGCTGTCTGCGTCGATGTCGTAGTAAGGCTGTCTGGAGCGGTGGTGGTGTGGACCGTGAGTAGGGAGTGAGTAGGGGGCTCAAGGGGGTCTCGTGACGCACGACCGTGAGTAGGGGGTGAGTAGGGGGCTCAAGGGGGTCTCGTGACGCACGACCGTGAGTAGGGGATGAGTAGGGGGGCTCAAGAGGGTCTCGTGACGCACGACCGTGAGTTACGGGAGCAAGGTGCAACGTGTTATCGTTGTTTTTTTTATTTGCGTGAATCTGTAGTTTAGGAATGCATGCGTTTGTGACCGTTGAAGGAGTTTGGAGTTTAATGGCTACTGTTGGGTAACTCTTGGGTGCGCCTATTTAAATGTTGGTAATCGGATTAAAATGTTAATTATCATCATGAGGCCCCCTTCGTGTAAACAAGGGGGAGGGGTCCTCCAACTCTTATCGTCCTGTCTCTCGACTGGCCTCCATCCATAAGCTACGAGGTCGGGTCGTTGCCCGAAACGTCGCCTATTATGAATATATTCTTTATTTTGAGGCCACAGTGTAATTCACAGTTGAGTTTGCTCACTCACAGCCCGTTTTTTTGTTCATTATTGGTAACCGCATGAAATAAACTCGTCATGTAACCGATTAAAACCGGTTTTCTCACTTACTGAAACGTCTGGAGCAGGGGTTGGTTACCAAAATAACAATAAGAGACGTTGTTGTTTTTGTCTTTGACCAAAATAGTTCACAGAGAGCCGCATCACACACAGAGCCACGTAATACACACACAAACACACAGACGTCCACAGACAGACACACACACACAAACACACACACAAACACACAGACGTACACAGACAGACACACACACAAACACACAGACAGACACACACACACAAACACACAGACAGACACAAACACACAGACACACACACACAACACAGACAGACATACACAAACACACAGACAGACACACACACACACAAACACACAGCCACACACACAAACACACAGCCACACACACAAACACACAAACACACAGCCACACACACAAACACACAGACACACAAACACAAACACACACACAAACAGACACACAAACACACACACACACAAACACACAGACAGACACACACACACACACAAACACACAGACAGACACAAACAAAAAAAACAAAGATCCCCCATATAGCCTTAACAGACTGTAGGGGCAAGTGCTGTTAGCGAGCACCTATGAAGGCCGGAACGGTACACGAGGGGGTGGGTGGCCAGCACCACGCCCGACCGCCTTTGTCTCCCTAGTGGCAATGTTTACACACCGCACCAGGTACTCATTTGAGGCTGAGTCGACCTAGGGGAGGCCCGGGACCGGTTCAGATAATCGTCACTGGTGTTAGCCGTGAGCGGGAATCGAATCCGGGTCGCCAGGTTCATAGTGCAGTGCGCTAACCGCTACACCATCGCTCCCCACACACACAGACACACAAACACACACACAGACACACAGACACACAAACACACACACAGACACACAAACACACACACAGACACACAAACACACAGACACAAACACACAAACAGACACACAGACACAAACACACAGACAGCCACACAAACAAACACACAAACACACAGACACAAACACACAGACAGCCACACACACAAACACACAAACACACAGACAGCCACACACACACAAACAGACACAGCAGCAGCGAGTATACAGGAGACGACAACACAAATTCTGACTTAATCAAAATAGGTGATGGACTAAACTGCGTCTATTTAGTTTCTGTCCTCCTAAGTTAATTCTTAAAAAATACTGCACAGTGTGTCGTCACCAAGACATTCCGTAGTGACTTATTCCATAGTGACCCATTCCCTATCGTATTTAATAAACTGTTTATTATCTGTGAGTACAATTGTGTTTAAGATTCTTCTTCGTCTTCGCCTTCTTCGTCGTCTTCGCCTTCTTTTCCGTCGTCTTCCTCGTCTTCTTCTTGATCTTCTTCCTCGTCTTCAATAAACGGCTGCCCGCAAGGGAGGAAGCCAAAAAGCCACCGCACGCGGCTCCCGTGCCGCCGATCCCTGGCCGAGGGCCACCCAGAGCGATGTTGACCTCTAGCCGAGAGCCACCCAGAGCGATGTTGACCCCTGGCCCAGGGCCACCCAGAGCGATGTTGACCCCTGGCCCAGGGCCACCCAGAGCGATGTTGACCCCTGGCCCAGGGTCACCCAGAGCGATGTTGACCCCTGGCCCAGGGCCACCCAGAGCGATGTTGACCCCTGGCCCAGGGCCACCCAGAGCGATGTTGACCCCTGGCCCAGGGCCACCCAGAGCGATGTTGACCTTTGAGCTGAGCAACGTGACCTGCTGTCGCCGTGCCGCGATGGTCAGATCAGAATCTTCGCCACCGCTCAGAATCTCTCCGTCTCTCTCAAACGCCCCTCCCCGCCGCCCCACCACTCAAAGGTAAAGACGCAGCCCCTGCAATTGCTTCCTCACGGCGCTGTTGGTGGAAGAACTTCCACTCGGGGGGGGGGGGGGGGGGAGCTCTAGACGGCGCGTCTGGAGATGATTTGTCATCTTCCACACCGGGACCTGTACCCAAACTTCACCCCACCGCACGTGACTTGGCGAACCCGTTCTCACTGCTGCCGGGTGGAGTTTAAGAAGCTTGCCTCCCCCATTGTTTCAAATTCCACGCCGGGAGACGGAATCGAACCGGCACCTTCTGCTTTGCAAGTCCAGCGGGCTCACAAACCATCAACAAAACGGCAGCACTCCCACTCAAAGCAAGCCCCCCCCGCCGCCCCCCACTAAATCAAACATCCCCCCCCCCCTCCAACACGACTCACAGTTGCACGCCGCTGATGAGGGTGCCGAACAGGCCGATTGCGCCCAGGAACTCGACGCGGCCCCGGGAGCGAACCAGCTGCTCCTCGCACACGTTGCACAGTCCGTAGAGGACGGCCCCGGCCACCACTAGCGTGTCTCCTAGCGCGCGGTTAGAGGCTGGGGCGGTGGGGCGGTGGGACGGGGGGGGGGGGGGCACAGGGAACACGTGGGGGTCACGTGGGGGACACGTGGGGGACACGTGGGGGACACGTGGGGGTCACGTGGGGGACACGTGGGGGTCACGTGGGGGACACGTGGGGGACACGTGGGGGTCACGTGGGGGACACGTGGGGGTCACATGGGAGAAGATGCAGGGACATGTGGGGGTCACGTGGGGGTCACGTGGGGGTCACATGAGGGACACGTGGCGGTCACATGGGGGACACGTGGCGGTCACATGGGGGACACGTGGGAGATACATGGGAGGAAATGCAGGAACACGTGGGGGTCACATGGGGGACACGTGGGGGTCACGTGGGGGTCACGTGGGGGTCACATGAGGGACACGTGGAGGTCACATGGGGGACACGTGGGAGATACATGGGGGGAGATGCAGGGACACGTGGGAGTCACATGGGGGATACGTGGAGGTCACATGGGGGACACGTGGGAGATACATGAGGGAAGATGCAGGGACACGTGGGAGTCACATGGGGCACATGCAGGGTTGCACAGGGGACGCATGGGGGGACATGTGTGGATACATGGGGGGACACGCGGGGGGACACGCGGGGGGACACGCGGGGGGACACGCGGGGGGACACGCGAGCGACATGCGGGGGCACACGCGGGGGGGGGCACACGCGGGGGGGGGGGGACACGCGGGGGGGGGGGGACACGCGGGGGGACACGCGGGGGACACGCGGGGGACAGTTTAAATTTTCCCTTCGGACGGTTGTCAGGGACACCCTCACTGGGCTGTGGTGCTGTTGCTGCTGAAGATGTCATGGATGTCAGTCCCATCAACTTGGTGACGCTGATGGTGATAACGATGGTGACCATTGTGATGATAGTGATGGTGACCATGGTGATAACGATGGTGATGGTGACCATGGTGATGATAGTGATGGTGACCATGGTGATAACGATGGTGATGGTGACCATGGTGATGATAGTGATGGTGACGATGTTGGCCGGTCAGCTGTCGTCACCTTCGCCCTGAGACCTCCCCGTGAGGCGGTCGGCCCCCACCATGGCCCCCACGCCCACGAGGCAGAGCGCCACGGCGCCCACGTGAGACGCGCGGTAGCGCACGCGCAGGAAGAACCACGAGAGGGCGAACACCACGGGCAGGACCATGCAGTCCAGCAGCTGGGGGGATGGAGAGGGGGTGGATGGGGGGTGGAGGGGGGGGGATGGGGAGATGGAGGGGGGTGGAGGGGGGATGGAGAGGGGGTGGATGGGGGGTGGAGGGGGGGGGGATGGGGAGATGGAGGGGGGTGGAGGGGGGATGGAGAGGGGGTGGATGGGGGGTGGAGGGGGGGGGATGGGGAGATGGAGGGGGGTGGAGGGGGGATGGAGAGGGGGTGGATGGGGGGTGGAGGGGGGGGATGGGGAGATAGAGATGGAGGGGGGGGGGTGATGGAGGGGGGGGGGGGGGTGATGGAGGGGCAGAGGTTCAAACACCACGATGTTCACTTCAACCTTAACCGAGCAACTCGTGGCCGTGACCGTGACTCTCCGTCGCCCGCTCCGGACGTGCGCGTGCGCTCAGCCCGGCAAAAACCCGCGTGCACTTTGTTTGTAACGACATGGATTGAAACTTCTTGAACTACAAAAAAAAACACGGCTCAAGACGGCGCGTCAATCACGACGCTCCGTCACTTCGGACCTCAGCGTCCCCAGGCAAATCTGAGCGACAAGTTCGGGATGACAACCTCTTGACGGCTGAGGTATCCGAAGTGGCTCCGTCCCCCCCACCCACCCCCTCTTCCGGGCATGCCCCCCCCCTCCTATCCCAAACTCCAATCCCTCCCCATCCCCGCACCCCTCCAACCCCCAGCCCTGCCTCCACCCCTCCCCTCAGCGCCCCCCCCCTTCTTCCCACACCCTCCACCAATCCCAACCACGAACCCCTCTGGTCTCCCAATTCCCGCACACCCACACTTTCACCACCACCCTCCCACCCACCCCTACTCCAACTCCCCCCCCCCCCTCCTCTATTCTTCCAATCATCGTGACCCACTGCCATCACCTACTCTCCCAGCTCAGAATCAGAATCTTTATTTGGAGCTATAAAGCGCTTTTTCACAGACGCCCAGTAACCATCATGGCTAGGAGATGTTAACTACATCGCCTGGTCTACAGGAGGTCGTGGGTTCGATCACGACCCTGACGCCTGCTGCTGCTGCTGTATATTTGGAGTTTGCGGTGTCTCTCTCCCCGTGGTTGCGTGGATTTTTATCCGGGTCCTCCGGTTTTCCCCTCCACATTTAAAATAAAAAAACACGCGTTTAGAGGAGTTGGCTGCTACACATTTCCACACGACGATGATGATGATACGCCACTTCGTTGGGCTATCACTTGTGGCCAGGTCCATTCAGTAAAGGAGCTACATAGGTCAGTGGAGCTTACCTGCGAAAATAAAAAAATAGTTTAGATTCAATCGTTTAAGTCCTCCTCCGTTCGTCCCGTTCCCACACCTCCCGAAACCCACAAGCTGGTGAGTGTGGTGTCCAGGTACGGCTTCACTACCAGGTAGTACCTGCACGCTTGTGAGTGTGGTGTACTGGTAGGCCTTCACCACCAGGTAGTTCGCCTCCACGTCCACCAGGGCCAGCAACGCGTACTTCCAGCCGCGAGCCCTCAGCACGTCCAGCAAGTTTCCGTCGTCTGGGCGATAGACGGTGAGAGGTGTGGGTGGGGTGAGTTGGATGGTGAGGTGTGGGTGGGGTGAGTTGGATGGTGAAGTGTGGGTGGGGTGAGTTGGATGGTGAGGTGTGGGTGGGGTGAGTTGGATGGTGAGGTGTGGGTGGGGTGAGTTGGATGGTGAGGTGTGGGTGGGGTGAGTTGGATGGTGAGGTGTGGGTGGGGTGAGTTGGATGGTGAGGTGTGGGTGGGGTGAGTTGGATGGTGAAGTGTGGGTGTGGTGAGTTGGATGGTGAAGTGTGGGTGGGGTTGAGTTGGATGGTGAGGTGTGGGTGGGGCGAGTTGGATGGTGAGGTGTGGGTGGGGTGAGTTGGATGGTGAGGTGTGGGTGGGGTGGTGTCAGTTTAACACGGGCGGACCATTCTCAGTTGATGTTTGGGTCAGATCGCCGCGTGCTTGTTCGTGTCGTTAACCCTTCTCCACCCGACACACAGCCAAACCAAGTGTTGCTCGTGCCAGTGTGTTACTGCTTCAGCACCGCGGTGTGTTGGAGAGCTCCTTTGCGCGCAATTGCACCATTTGGTGCGACATAAACTAAACTCTTTTTTTATTTTACTAGGTAAGGCCCACTGAGCTATACAAGTGTTCAAGGCAAGGCCCGCTGGGAATAAATGAGTTTTAAATCTAGATTTCAAAGTGCAAAGCTCCAGTGTATGCATATGTGTATGTGTGAACGACTTTGGCACCGTACGTAGCCAACCGTGCTCATCGTAGCCGAGTGGAAGGACAACAAACTGAACGCGAATAAGCAGTTCTAAAGAAATGAGTGTTCAGACTCGATCACTTTAAAGGGCCCAGCTCCCAGTGTGCCTTCCCGAGAGGCCTTGGACTGACCGCGGCGCAGCGCCAGCATGCCCGAGTACACGAGGAGCAGCAGCACGTAGTTGAAGAAGCTCTGGAACACTGGGGTGTCCACTCCGTGTTGTTGGAGGTACTGGCTGCACACGCCCGTACCGCAGATGAGCAGCGACAGCAGCTGACCCACGGCTAAGTTAAAGGCCAGTTCCCTGTAACACACAGACAGGGGTAACCATCTGCCCCGCCACGCATTGCCTTGAACAGGCCGTTAGGGCTACTGCTGCTCATGATGATGAACGTCAGTCATTCGGCACCCACCTCTCAGCTCTGTTGAGAGGGGCGCCGGCACCCCATCCTCAAAAGTGATACCCCCTATAAGCCCGCAGTCATCACGAGCCGTGCACGTGGGGGGTCTTAGCTCACTTGAGTGGTGGGTTTGGCGAGTTGCCGTGTAAGTGTTGGTGGGGGGGGGGGGGGTCAGGGTGGCGTGGGGGGGGCACGGTGGCTATGAGATGTTAACTACCTCGCCTAGTCTGCAGGTGGTCGTGGGTTCGATCTCGACCCTGACGCCTGCTGTATATTTGGAGTCTGCGTGTCTCTCTCATCATCATCATCAAGGTAGCTAGATGTTAACTACCTCGCTTGGTATACAGAAGGTCGTGGGTTCGATCTCGACCCTAACGCCTGCTGTTGTATATTTGGAGTTAGCGGTGTCTCTCTTCCCGTGGTCGCGTGGATTTTTCTCCGGGTCCTCCGGTTTTTTCCCTCCACATTTAGAATCAACATCACGCGTTTAGAGCATTTGGCTGCTATAAATGTCCACGTGATGATGATGAGAAGCCACTTCGTTGAGCGATCATTTGTGATAGCCAGGTCGCTTCTGAAGCTATACAGCTGTGTGGGCCTTACCTGGTAAGCTAATATAAATAGTTGCGTTTATAGTCTCGCGTTAGGTTAATAACAAAACGGGCGACAGATTCCTAGGCAGTTGTCCATTAGCCACGCGGGTCGCGAAGAAATACAATAATAAATCAACGGCTTGGTTAGGCGGTGGAGGAGGCGATGCTGCCACTTCTGTTGCTGTGCGATCCCAATTGAGTCAGTTTGAAGTGTTCTTTCAGCATTGGGAATGTTTGGACAATACTAGTGACATTGTTGTGTTGGTTTAACTTTGTTGTTGTTGTTGTTTTTAAACCACAGCAACAATAGACGAGTCCGAATCTGAAGAGAAAAATAATCAGCAAATTACTGAATTGTAATATCTATGTGTGATGGGTCATTGCCCGAAACGTCGCCTTTCATGTTTCCCTTTGGAGTGGCGTTGAGGTTTTTGTTGTTGTTGTTGTCATATTGAAATTTACGGTGCATGACCAATCATCCCCGTCCACCCCGAACTACGACAACGTGGTGAGAATCTCCTGGCTTGACAAGCTTGAGAATAATCACAATCAACATCATCATCTGCATCACGAGACGAGAGTGGACCCTGACCAAGAGGAGTGAACAGGCACAGACCACGCGCACCGCACCGGTGTAGAGATTCCGTGGTGCATCTCTCACCGTGTGAAGATCCGTCGGAGACGAACTTGGATTTCTTGACCCGTGGGGAACGCCGTCAACTTCTTACTCTGCTGTTGCTGCTCGCTTGATTGCGCAACCTCCACTCCCCCGTGCGGAGGATCTTGAGAATCGTTCGCTCCCCACGGGTCCATGATGGGTTACCACCGGTACAACTAGCACCAGCAGCCACCACCACCACCACCACGAGCAGTCGTACCAAAACCACCACCACCACCACCACGATCAGTCGTACCAATACCACCACCACCAACAGCAGCAGCAACCACCACCACCAGTTGTACCACGACCACCACCACTATCAGTTTGCTGTGCCTACCCCGCACCTCCGCTTAGCACGGCCGGCTACGTACGGCGCGGAAGAAGTTCATACATACATCGTGCTAGTTCCACCACCGGCACATCTCACCACAACCAACACCACCACCACCACCACCTACTACTGCTACTACCACCAGCACCACCGGTAGGTACCACCACCACCACTAACAACAACAATTAGCATCAACGCTATTTATTCCACCTCCACCACCGCTAGCGGCCAGGGGCAAGAGGCTGGTCCCGAGACTCCCGTGGCGGGGTTATAGAGAGCGCCCGAGAAGTCTCCCGGCTCTCGTCTGCCCGCCACGTGGTTAACCATTAGCGCGGGTGCACACACGGCCCGAGTCGATGGGCACACACGGCTTTGTCGGCGTCACTCATTCACCGGCTTATTGCTCTCGCAGGGCAGTAGGTGAGCACGCAGAGTTGTCTCGCTCCCTTCGATTAAGCGTCCCTCCGCGGGCGAGACGCGCGTGTTTATTGTCTAACAGATGCGTATTGGGGTCGTTGTATATTTAAGTTGAGAAGGGAACGCTCAACCCACACAGATAGGCCAGAGAGCTAAGGTCCCTTCGCTTCCTCCAGCAAGTGGCGTGAGCGAGGAGTTGCAGGGCTGCGCCTTTGCCCCATGTTCCCCTGAACCGAGAAGCGACCGCACCACGTGGTGGAGGGAGGGGGTGGGGATGAGTGATGAGGCTGCACGCGGTTCCAATCAGAGCCGGCACGCGCCGTGCTGCTTTGTTTGCACGTCGGCGCTCGCAACACTCCACGGCAAACGGTTACCGGTTTTCCGACTTTTGGATCGGGTAACCGTTAATACGACCGGTTACGGATGACCGGTTTTTCCCGACTCCCGCTGAACAGGCTTTATTATGGACTCGCTGTGGCCCGTCCGGTGTATCACCGCTGGGTGGACAGACGCGGTTAGGGGGTCTCGGGAGTGGGAGGTTGGGATGGGTCTAGTGCGCTGACCACTGGACAGGAGTGGCAGCTCCCTCGTTCACTGCACAATCTCGTGCACGGTGTGTAGGGTCGAATGTTCGCAGAGACACGGGGGTTGTATAGGTAATTGTACACTGTCGGTCTGCGGGAGGGTGCGTGATTGTCTCTCGCCACGAACACACTCCCGATCCACGGGCCCCATCGATTGGTGGCGAGATGTCAACTACATCGCCTGGTATACAGGAGGTCGCGGGTTCGATCCCGACCCTGACCCTTGCTGTATATTTGGAGTTTGCGTGTCTTTCTCTCATCATCATCATCACGGTGGCTAGGAGATGTTAACTACCTCGCCCGGTATACAGGAGGTCGTGGGTTTCGATTCCGATGCTGATGCCTGCTGTATATTTGGAGTTTGTGTGTCTCTCTCTCATCATCATCATCACGGTGGCTAGGAGATGTTAACTACCTCGCCTGGTATACAGGAAGTCGTGGGTTTCGATCCCGACCCTGACGCCTGCTGTATATTTGGAGTCTCCGTCTCTCTCTCTCTCTCTCTCCCCGTAGTTGCGTGGATTCTTCTCCGGGTCCTTCGGTTATTCCCTCCACATTTAGAATCAACATCACGCGTTTAGAGTATTTGGCTGCTATAAATGTCCACGTGATAAGCCACCTCGTTGGGCTATCATTTGTGATATCCAGGTCGCTACATTGCAGTTCAGCGTAGTGGCAAGGAGCCATCCGACCACCGCGTGACACACCACGTCCTTGTCGTGACTCACGGGGGGTGGGGGGGGGGGTGAGTGGATGTGTGCTGTAGGAATACAATAGACATTGTACCCTACACATTGCCATCATAATCGGCCGTGATCTCTACCATTGCTGGATCAAGAATGCAATGGGCCGATCGTTATCCACGTGAGAGACGCGTGTCGGCTGAGTCATCACGTGCTGATTGTGAGTCGTCACCTGCTTCTTGTCGCGTGTCGGCAGATTTATACTCGACGCAGGGCACCGACTATACTCCCAGACTCGGGTGGTCAAGCCCAGGTGTAGCCGCGTCAGAAGCGGCGGAGTGGCTGCGTCGCCACGATGTCTCATGCACACAGCTCGACCACAGTCACCTAACCGGGGGCATTGCGTGGGGACCCGTTGCACGGTCTCCTCTGGATGCCCGATCGTGAGCGAGCGAGCGAGCGTTGCGAGACACCGCAGACTTTACAGCTTTGCCTCCCACCGTACATCCTCATCAGGCATGCTCTGTCCGCTGCTCGATGACGGGGCGGGCGGGGATGGAGGAGGGTGGTGACTCATGACACCGACTTAGTTTTGGCGACATTCGTTAATAACAGTGTCTGGCCTTGAAAGTAAAGAATATATATAATAGGTGACGTTTCGAACAATGACCCTTCTTCGCAGATAGAGAGGTGAGTAGCGAGACAGAGTAGACGATCAGGCCTGTAGAATGCAGGGGTTTAAACCGCGGGAGATCCATGATGAGGATTACATTTGAAATGTGTTATTCTGATGGCCCAGTTTTTAAACCGGTCATACGAATAGTTACGCGAATGGTGCCTAGTGAGTAACAGACAAATCCTTAATCAGTCACAAAGTATATACTACTTCTACAATAATTCTAAATAATACAATCATTTATATGAAACATATAAAACTTGATTTTTTGCCCGTCCAAGGACGGGTGTAGATTGCAGTACATCTGAAATATTCAATAGAAAAATTGTTCAGCTCATGATTATTAATGAGGGGGGGTTGCCCCATGTGGAGTGACGTCGCCCGCTCATGGTTATTGTGGAGGGGTGCGGCATGTGGAGTGTCGTCATCCGCTCATGATCAATGAGGGGAGGGGTGCGACATGTGGAGTGACGTCACCCGCTAATGGTTATTGTGCAAGGGTGCGGCATGTGGAGTGACGTCACCCACTAATGGTTATTGTGCAGAGGTGCGGTATGTGGAGTGACGTCACCCGCTCATGGTTATTGTGGAGGGGTGCGGCATGTGGAGTACGCGACCTTCTTGTGCGTAAGTGTAAATTTCCACGCGCGCATGAATATTAATGACGGGGGGGGGGCTTTGTAGTGACGTCACGCACGGATGTAGCACTGTGCTGTGTATGAATATTGATGAAAGGGGGGTGCTTTTGCAGTGAGGTCACGCACGGATGTAGCACTGTGCTGTGTAGGTTTATTTTTTTACCGTCACTTTCTGTCAAGAAACGTCAAATTTGAAGCGACTTTGCGCGTAATAAATTATTTAATTCAGCTCGACCTTCCTCTGCGCTAGTGTAAAAATCCACCCACTCATGAATATTAACGAGGGAGGTGGGGGTGGGCCTCATGCGGAGTGACGTCACGCGGGGGGGGGGGGGCTGGGGCTCACGTGGAGCGACGTAACGCGCGGGACGGACAGACATTTCTGGGTGATTATAGTCGGGTAATGTTGCTGGCGCATTGGAACCGTCAAGTCGGTCGCGAGGTCAATTGCAGGTTCTCGGTCAACTTTTCATCGATTCGCTCTTCAACGTGCGTGGACATCCAGGGTTGGGTGTCCTGCGGGTTAGGCTGTACCAACCCCCACCCCCGCCATATGAACGTGGAATTACCAGCATTGACTTGATTGATGAGTAAAGAAACGAGCGGTGCGCCGTGCACGTATGAACGACGGACGATTTTCGAGTGAGTTTTATTCGAGAATTGCCAATATCATTGATTCCACCACGCATTCGCTTCCTTCCTTCTGCCCGTTGTAAACTAAATCATCATCATCAACATCGAGCTACGATCTATCCACTGTTGGATGAAGACCCCTCCCTAAGCTTACGAGCGTTACAAAAAGTAAGAAGAGGTTTTACCCTTTCTGGCCATAATTAAGCAGCAGTAGTTTTGTTAAGATGATCAAACATCAAAAATAAACATTTAGCAAGGAATCAATTTACTGCATTCACCACACACTATACTTGTGGTGAACATGTAAACACACATGCTCTAACAATATATGGCGTTGACATTGTAACTGATTGGCCTGCATCAGAGACAGCTATTTGGTGCTTGAACATCTTAACACCTTCCCGTTTCATTTCCAGAAAGGGTAAAACCTCTTTATTAATTTTGCATGCTTTGATACTGGCAAAAAGGTCCCATTTCTTAGCAGCGTGGTGGTGAAGTATGGTCAAACACCCCACCCACCCCCCCCTATCACCACCCGTGCCCACATACGACACGGCCCCTTCACCCAGCAGTGGATGAGCGAAGGGCGCTGTACCATTAAATAACATTCACGTACATTTATAAACATATATCTGAGTAGAAACAAAAACAGTCCATCCATTGCACACAGCTCGACCACAGTCACCTAACCGGGGTTCAAACCTTCACGGCGTGCTCTCTGCTGCGGCCGTGCGTCATTCCGGGAAAACCCGGCGCGGATTGCCCGATCAGGATTCACCAGGCGCAGCACTGATTCCTGGGGAACGCCAGGTCGATTGTGGAGTCACGTCGCCACGTGGTCGGGATGTTATCACGCGGGGTGGAACTTTAAACAACAAAGACAAAGATCCCCCGTGTAGCCTGCCACAGACTGATGAGGCAAGTGCTGTTAGCGAGCACTTATGAAGGCCGACACGGCACACGAGGGGGTGGGTGGCCAACACCACGCCCGGCCGCCTTTGTCTCCCGAGTGGCGATGATTACACACCGCACCAGGTACTCATTTGAGGCTGAGTCGACCTATGGGAGTGTGAGTGAGTGGAGTTTGTGTGTTCTCCCTCTGATATGTAGAGAGTGAGTGAGTGGGTGTGTGGAGTTTGTGTGTTCTCCCTCTGCTATGTAGATTGTGAGTGAGTGGGTGAGTGGAGTCTATGTGTTATCCCTCTGTTAAACACATCACTCACACTTACACATCACTCACACTCACTCATTACTTACACTCACACATCAATCACGCATCACTCACACTCACACATTAATCACACATCACTTACACTCACACCCCACTCACACTCACACATCACTCACACATCACTCATTACTCACACTCACACATCACTCACACTTACACATCAATCACACATCACTTACACTCACACCCCACTCACACATCACTCATTACTCACACTCACACCTCACTCACACACACATCACTCACACATCACTCACACTCACACATCACTCACACACCACTCACACTCACATCACTCACACATCACTCACACTCACACATCACGCACACATCACTCACACATCACTCACACATCACATCACTCACACATCACTCACACACCACTCACACATCACTCACACATCACTCATACTCACACATCACTCACACATCACTCATACTCACACATCACTCACACATCACTCACACTCACACATCACTCACACTCACACATCACTCACACATCACTCATACTCACACATCACTCACACATCACTCACACTCACACATCACTCACACTCACACACCACTCACACATCACTCACACTCACACAACACTCACACATGACTCATACTCACACATCACACATCACTCACACATCACTCACACATCACTCACACTCACTCACACATCACTCACACATCGCGATCTTCACGAGCGGCTTCATCTTCCCGCACGGTTCGTCTCCACGACGGCATTCTCCCACCTCCTCCTTCTCCTCGACTCTTCCTCCACAACAGAAGACCTCGACAATCCACCGGTGAGATGAAGACTTCCACGCCGCACCCCACCCACCACCCCCCACCACCAACCCACCCATCACCGCGATCCACACATTGTTGTCAGCACGAAACGGGGCTCGTCACGGGGGTCACATCGCCGCTCACCGCGTACCCCCCCCCGATCAAGGGGACCCCCGAAGCGGCCCCCCTCGCGACATTGGAGGCCCGGCCCCCCTCTCCCTGGGCCTCCGACACGTGACTCGAACTGCTGAACCTGGCGAGCGAATGAATGAGAGGGAGCGCGAATGACAAACATCACGCCGGTGGGGGGGGGGGGGGCGAGGAAGGAAGGAATGAATGAAGGAATTAATGAATGCGCCGGTGTGCTTCACAGACAGCTGCTACGGGGTCCGCAGGAGTTTGACAGCGGCGCGATTCGCCGCTCGTTGTTCTGCAAAGGGGCCGTCCATAAATTACGTCACGCGATTTTGGACGATTTTGACCCCCCCCCACCCCTCGTCACACGGCGTCACAAAAAGTCAGAACCCCCCCTCAAATATGACGTCACAAAGCTCTGCCCCTCCCCCACCCAAATATATATATATTTCTATTTGGAAAAAAAACCATGCTTCAAATCGCTTTAAACTATTGTCATTGTAGTGCGTATTGAATGTGGCACTGCACTCTGATGTTGTAGGAGAAAACATTCATTAAAACGTGAATTTAATTAAGTAGAACGTGTTGTCTATATTTATTTAAAGTTGCGAATTTTGATGTGACGTCACATTTCTCAAACCCCGCCCACCCCCCCGTCGTCACACATCGTCACAAATGTCTGACCACCACCCCCCCCCCCCCCCCAGGTGCGTGACGTCATTTATGGACGGCCGCAGAGGCGTCTCGCGGTTCGTATCCGGCAAGGCCGGCCCTGGTCAATGCTGCGCTGCGTGGGGTTAACCACGAATACAACAGCAGCAGCAACAAGCACGTGCTAAATCCGCTTCGTAGGTGGACGTTAAAGATCGCGTGACGCCATTCGAAACGCGAAAGGCCACGGCGCGTGCCATGGCGTCTAATTTGACAAAGTTGCAAGGAATCAGTTCATTAAGCAATTAATTAACCAATACATTAATGAATGAATGAAGCAATACATGAATTATAAATGTATCTCGGTAGTCCGACCCTCGTTGCAAACACTTGGCAGGGGCCTCTTGAGCGCCGCCGCCGCTGCTGCTGCCACTTACTGCTGGGCTTAGTGGCGGGCAGTAGCGGGCAGCAGAGGGCAGTAGCGGGCAGCAGAGGGCAGTAGCGGGCAGCAGAGGGCAGTAGCGGGCAGCAGAGGGCAGTAGCGGGCAGCAGAGGGCAATAGCGGGCAGCAGAGGCGGGCAGCAGAGGACAGTAGCAGGCAGAAGAGGGCAGTAGCGGGCAGCAGAGGCGGGCAGCAGAGGGCAGTAGCGGGCAGCAGATGGCAATAGCGAGCAGCAGAGGGCAATAGCGGGCAGCAGAGGCGGGCAGCAGAGGGCAGTAGCGGGCAGCAGAGGGCAATAGCGGGCAGCAGAGGGCAATAGCGGGCAGCAGAGGCGGGCAGCAGAGGGCAGTAGCGGGCAGCAGAGGGCAGTAGCGGGCAGCAGAGGCGGGCAGCAGAGGGCAATAGCGGGCAGCAGAGGGCAGTAGCGGGCAGCAGAGGCGGGCAGCAGAGGGCAGTAGCGGGCAGCAGAGGGCAGTAGCGGGCAGCAGAGGCGGGCAGCAGAGGGCAGTAGCGGGCAGCAGAGGGCAGTAGCGGGCAGCAGAGGGCAGTAGCGGGCAGCAGAGGGCAGTAGCGGGCAGAAGATGGCAGTAGCGGGCAGCAGGAGGTAGCAGAGGGCAGCAGAGGCGGCCAGCAGAGGGCAGTAGCGGGCAGCAGAGGGCAGTAGCGGGCAGCAGAGGGCAGTAGCGGGCAGCAGAGGGCAGTAGCGGGCAGCAGAGGGCAGTAGCGGGCAGCAGAGGGCAGTAGCGGGCAGAAGATGGCAGTAGCGGGCAGCAGGAGGTAGCAGAGGGCAGCAGAGGCGGCCAGCAGAGGGCAGTAGCGGGCAGCAGAGGGCAGTAGCGGGCAGCAGAGGGCAGTAGCGGGCAGCAGAGGGCAGTAGCGGGCAGCAGAGGGCAGTAGCGGGCAGCAGAGGGCAGTAGCGGGCAGCAGGAGGTAGCAGAGGGCAGCAGAGGCGGCCAGCAGAGGGCAGTAGCGGGCAGCAGAGGGCAGTAGCGGGCAGCAGAGGGCAGTAGCGGGCAGCAGAGGGCAGTAGCGGGCAGCAGGAGGTAGCAGAGGGCAGCGCATCAACATGCATTGCAGTACCGCGGGTCTTTGCTCCCATGTTTTTGTATTCTCCAAAAGTATTTCATGATGAACACGACGACCGAGGATCACAACACAGAGGATGGCAACAACACGCATCACGCATCACGGTGCAAATGGAAACCTGCATCTCTCTAACCCGCATGCTTGAATCGACTGTTTTAATAAACCCTACAAGCATGGTGTCTCCTGGTGTCTCCCTAAGCTCCGGTGTCCCTGTAAGGGAAGGCAAATAACGGAGGGGGCTTCGCTAGAACGTTTTTTAATGCTCCCTCGGACTCCATCAATCAAGCGGGTGGGTGGGTTCGTGAGTGAATGGGTGAGTCGGTGAGTGAGTAGGTGAGTGATTGGGTGAGTGAGTGAGTGATTGGGTGGGTGGGTGAGTAGGTGAGTGATTGGGTGAGTGAGTGAGTGAATGGGTGAGTCGGTGAGTGAGTAGGTGAGCGAGTAGGTGAGCGAGTGGATGCGTTGTTGTGACCTGCAGTATGGTGGTTGAGTGAGTAATTGGTTGAATGTGTGAATGGGTGAGTTGTTGAGTACATTGTTGGGAGTTGCAGTGTGGTGGTTGAGTGAGTGAATAGGTGAATTAATAGGTGAGTGAGTGTGCGGCAGGGTGAGTGTGTTGCTGTGACCTGCAGTGTGGTGGTTGAGTGAGTGAATAGGTGAGTGAGTGGGTGAGTGTGCGGCAGGGTGAGTGGGTGAGCGGGAGAGTGAGTGAGTGTGCGGCAGGGTGAGTGTGTTGCTGTGACCTGCAGTGTGGTGGTTGAGTGAGTGAATAGGTGAGTGAGTGGGTGAGTGTGCGGCAGGGTGAGTGGGTGAGCGGGAGAGTGAGTGAGTGTGCGGCAGGGTGAGTGTGTTGCTGTGACCTGCAGTGTGGTGGTGGTTGAACACGGTGTGGCTGAGACGAAACTGTCAGGGTCTGGCAGACAACAACAACCGCCATTCACCACTAAGTGGTGGTGACATCACCACAACGCTTGTCCCAGGCGATTGGCACGTTGAGGCTACGTGAAGTGTCGAACGCCCGCTGCCAGGAGGTCACGGGGCAGACCAAGGTGCCACGGGTCGACTGACTGAGATGAGTGGCTGATGCACCACCTGTGCCCCCTACTGTGCCAACTTGCTGTGCTTTAGCCACCCAGCGCTCCGCTCGTTGTTGTGAGCGTCACTCCTCCGCCCTCCGTTGTTGTTGGAGGGCGACTGCCTCCATCTACCCAGTAGCGTCCTTCACGAGCCTCCTCCACAGAAGCCGATCTTGACACCGCTGGTACCAGTCATCGGCCAGTCCACTCAGCTCCACATCCTCTTGTACCACACCACTGCATCTCTTCTCGAGCCCGTGCCGCGCCCGTTTACCCCCCTCTATCCGGCCGAACAAAAGCTCTTTAGGCATGCGGTGGCTGGGCATGTGGGCTACATGACCCAGCCAACGCAGCCTTGCCTGCCGGAGGAGCTCACCAATAGGACTTGGTCCAGATTTTTCAAGGGTTTGTGAGCTCACACAATCCAGCCTGGTTAAAACCAGGATGCATCGTAGGCAGGCCAGCCTAAATGTGTCTAACCGGTGAAGATGCCCCAATAGGGGGGTCCACGTTTTGCAAGCGTAGAGAAGGGAGGGAATGACTGTGGCCGAGAAGACCTGAAGCTAAGTGCGGAGCGACAGACCAGGTAGCTTCCACACAGCGTGACGCAACCGATGAAAAGATATTGCGGCTCGACTGATTCGGACTAAGACCTCTGCTGTTAAACTGGAGCCGGTCATGGGCACACAACCCAGGTATGGGAAACTCTCCACTCTCTCCACAACTGCCCTATCACTAATTGGGAGTTGTGGGGTGGAGTGTCCAATGCTACAAAATACGCAGGCAGGTGCTTAGTTTTGGTGGGGCTGATGGTAAGGCCCCACCTCCTAGTGGCACGCTCCAGGTTCAGCAGCAGCACCTTCAACTCCTTCTCTGAGTGAGCGGCAATTACCAAATCATTGGCATACATAACATGGTTGAGCAATCGGGAGCGATCCCTTTTCCACACCTAGGCATCGATCAGCCCCCCTTTGCATCTATACCAGATTGAAATTCCTCCGGTACAGCCATCAAATGCTTCACGAACTGCGTGGTCGAAATAGATGTTAAATAATGTGGGAGCCAGAGGACATCACTGTCGCACCCCAAGGTGTACAGGGAATGGCACCGACTCCTGGCCACGTAGTTTATCCTGGCCCGCTCACCATCATGAAGGTCCTTAATGATAGTGAGCAGCAGGTCACGGACTCCGAAAGCACGAAGAACAACACAGAGCCCAGGCCTACTGATGGTACCATAGGCCCTTGACCAGGTCGATAAAGTAGAGATGTTGGTCTTGTTGGAATTCCCTACACCTCTGCTGTAGCAGGCGGACATAAAATATGGCATCTGTGCAGGACCGCCATTTCCTGAAACCGTATTGGGGCTCCACAAGCCTCTCCTCAGCGTGCCTAGCAAGGCGATGTTGAATAATCCTTGCCAGGACCTTTCCCGGCGCACTGAGGAGTGAGATGCCCCTGTAGTTGTTACAGTCTGTGCGGTCCGCCTTCTTAAAAAGGGCATCCTTCCAATCCTGCGGAACCCGTCCAGTGGTCCAGACTGTTGTTATGATGTCATGTAGGGCAGTCTGTGCACAAACACCACCCTCCCTCAGCATTTCCCTTGGGAGATAATCTCTGCTCGTGCCTTTCCTGGTCTCACGCTCTGGATCGCCGTCCGTACTTCCTCAACAGATGGCACCTCAGCCAGCTACTCACAGGGAGTGACTTCTTCATCCCATATTTGAGGCACCACAGCCTCAGCAGGGTCATCCCCACTTTGCCCCATGATGTTTTCAAGCTGAGGGATTTCCCCTCCCCAGGACCTCACATAAATACTCAGGAAATCTGCAAACCTGTTCCTGGGGGTCGGAGATTGGATCAC